CTTCCAATTCCAAGACCGCTTCCCAAATCTTACAGTACACATCATTACACGACTTGTTGCCCTATGATGCATGCTCTTGTCTGTTTCGTTCATGATGTTTTCATAAATGAACATGGAAGCTTGCTTCAACGGCATCTATCAGTCTCATGATTCTCCAAGACATGAAACCCGGACGCACAGTGGGCTGAAGCCAATGTCCTGCTCTTCTCTGGAAGAAGCCAACTCCTCGACCCAGGACCAGGACCAGCTTCAGTGCAGCTTCAGTGGGACACTTTACGGCGTCAAAGTAGGATGAAAAGTCATGGAACATCTTGTTTAAGCAACGGCTATAGCATGCTACAGCTATTCTGTTTTGAGAGGTGCAAAAGTGTCCATGTTCTGTGCGAAGGCACGCCTGAGAGAATCAAACCTTTCTCTCTTCACGGAATCCATGCTTCGTTGACCTGCCTCTTCCAAAGAAAATGCCGGCGCTCAAGGGAATGCCAAGGGAATGCCGGTCCTTCCGCAAGGCTGCGATGGTCTGATCCTTCATCTCCTTCTCCTGCTGCAAATGCTCTCTTGCCACCGTCAGTGGAAGTAGCTCCGATTCGGTCCTGTGGGCGTCCACTCGTTATGGCAAAGGCCAGGTGAGCGTGAAACGAGCTTTTCACAAACCACCTTGCGTTCAGACATTGCCCACGGATTTGGGGCGTACCATGGCGTACCCCTTTCTTGAGCTGTACCCGCTTCATGAGGTTCCGCAAGTATAGGCTAGGCCTGGTTCCGTTCTCCGGAAGCTGTTCAGCAGGTAAATTAAAGACATGACATGCACAAACCAAACATGTCTTGAGGGGATGAGTTCTGCATTTTGACTTGTCCTTTCGTTTGGGTTTGAACCTCTTTCAAAGCAAGCTAGAGGTTCATACCTGAGCAACTGCAATTCATCGACCCATGCTCAACAACCTCTTGAGCCGAGTCCTGCTTTTCTCGTACTCCAACTGGTACTTGGCCTTGCTCAACTCAGACATCTTGCCTGTTTGCAGCTCCAGCTCTTTCAAAAGCCTGCGTCCAGCGCATGGAAAGGCACTGGGACAAATTTCTGAAAACGATCACTCGAACCTCGAAACAGAACCTAGGGAGGCACCCTGAGGTGCGCACGCCCAAGTAAACGCGTTGGCAAAAATGAAAGAAGCTCCGTTTCCCCAACAAAGCAATCCCAATGAAAGAACCTCTCTAAAACAGTTGACCAGTTTATATTAATCGAGTGGTTTTTTTCATGGTTTTTCATGACGGCACCTGGCGATTTTCTCCTCCTTGCGCACCTCTTCGCTGAGGAGGCCATCCACCTGTCGAGAAGATGGGCTGAGGATGGGCAAGGGGTAAGTTCCAGCCGGTGATATTGAATCTTAAAGCCTTGTCAGTGGGGTGGTTTGGACGAATTCAAGGGCCTACAAGGTGGGGTAAATGAAGCTGGTCTGCCCAATATTTGCCTACAGGGAGTTATGGAATCTCAATGAACCTGATGATGTGGTGTAGATGGAGATGTCTACTCATTCTAAGGGTAGTCCTGCTCCAGCCAACCTATGCGCTCCAAACCACTGGAGTTGTTTGTTGCAGTGCAAAGGAGGAGCGACCACACTGCTTTGGTGTGGAAGCTGGACTGGTCAATGCAAACCACCGTGTGAGCGTCCCTGGCGGTTGCCTCTCCTGGCTCGTGGACACACATACATATTACACGAATATGTATATATATATATATATGATGTACACATATTATGTATACTTACTTCACGCGACAGTCGACAGTTGTTTTTTTGCAGGAACAGTTAGAATTTTATCAGGAAAAGCACCCAAAAAACTGCGAATCAAAGTTGAATTCCAGGCTCAGCACGACGCCCCAGTCACATCCCGACTGACAAGTGGTTCTAACTGGACTTATTTATACTTTGGGAACTGGTGTCAACATGAGCGGTTGAGCTTTGAGGCACACCCGGGCCTTGTGACCATCTCATGTGGATCTATATACGCGTTCGTGGGAACTGACCTCCTAAACCCGCCCCGCTTGGATTCCCAAACAAATCGATTTTCAGAGGTGGACCATCCCGAATCCCTGCAACAGTAGGAATCACCGCCTGCTGCTGCAACTGTTCCTTCTGCTGCTGTAGCTCTTCATCTACAGTAGTTCTCACCGGCTCCTGGCGTAGGTCGCGGGAAGTCTGGGAAGCAACTCGGTTGCATTCGGACGGTTCCGGGGTTTAACAATCGTCTTCCGGGGTAAGTGCCACCCCGAGATCAGGTTAACCGGAGTCTTGAGTGTACTCCACTTGTTACCCCTGCCCTGCTTGTTAGCTGACGGTGAAATGTCCTAGGTTGGGAAAACAACATCACATCATCTCTTTCGGGAACAGATTCTGAGTCTTTGGTTGGTCGAAGGAGAATCTTAGAGTTTGTCCCCATCTCCTTCCGTTTCAAAGACAACGAACTTGAACTGACACTGAAAATGAATCTCGGAGAATTCCACGGAATTCGGACTATTGATCTTGAACCCTGGCTTTGGGTTTCATGGCAGTTCTAGCACAGTCAGCCAATGCAAACTCAGTCTGCCAAGAAACCAATCTTTGATGAGCAACATCAAATGACTATTGTGACCAACATCTATGCTCGCTCTTAGAATTGCTTCCTCCAAACCATGGAGGCCATAGCTACTAGGGTGGAGGCCATCACTATTAGATTGGAGGACTGGTTGGAGGCCATTGCTACTAGGGTGGAGGCCATCGCTACTCTTCGGTTGGAGGCCATAGCTATTAGGTTGGAGGCCATAGCTATTAGGTTGGAGGCCAAAGCTATTATATAGGTTGGAGGTCATAGCTACTAGGGTGGGGGCCATAGCTATCAGGTTGGAGGCCATAGCTATTGGGTTGGAGGTCATAGCCATTTGGTTAGGCCGGAGGGAGGCCATAGCTATTAGGTTGGAGGCCAATAGTATTAGGTTATGCAAGTTTCTGGCCATCTTTAGTTGTTCAACTCCAGCAGCACAGTTCCTCTCCTGTAACTTTTCGTGCAGGGCCCCTTTCAGCTCCGACACCTGGCGTGCCACGCCAACCGGAAAAGCCGATTGTGACCAGCTGATGCCCTTTTGGCAACCACCTGGTTGCTGCTGTTGCTTGCAGGAAGCAGTAATGAAAATGGTCCGAATTTCAGCGAAACCAATTCCGCTTGTGATTTCGCAACACCAGAGTCCAAGCGAATCTAAGAGCGTCCCAGGAACTTTGCATGAGATGCGTTCAAAGTATCGATGCAAAAAAACACATCAAGGGGCCAAGGGACGGAAACGGTGTTTGCTTTGCTGTCAGACAGCTAGCAGCACGTGTTTGCTCGCCGGGCATGCACTTTAGTTCCGAGTTCTTGGGCCCACGAGTCCTACAACCACCTACTTGCTTTTTGGACAGATCCCACTTACAGCTGGAAACTCATGTTGGTGGATTCAACTGGTGGTAGTGTGGTGTCTGTTATCGAGCATAGTAACTTACCCAATCGACCTTAGCTAAATGTTGCCAGCGTGTGAAGCTCAAGGCAGCCAGTGCAGCGCAAATTTTGAGAGAGCAGCAATAGAACAACCTGCCTCTTTCTCCAAGGCCGACTTCTGCTGTTCAAGTCGGGCGCAGGCGTTCTCGAGCTCGGCCCATCCTGGAATCGAGAAAGCGATTGTAGCGTTTATACTTTCCAGTCGAGCGTTCTTGGTGCATGTTGGCGACAGGCGCGTTGTTTGTTGGAGTCCATACCAGCGGACATGCCTGCCAAGTAAATTGAAGGCTGAGCGGAGCCTTCAACAAACTATCAGTAAATATCAGTAACATGGACCCTGAGGGTGTCTAGGCAAATGTTGGAGAACAACCCCTTCAAACATTTATCCGCATTTAATCAAACACAACTTACAGTTCAGGAAGCAATTTGGCAATGGCAGTTTATGAGAGCATCTCGAAGTAGAGAGACATCTAGACTTCCCAACAAAATGTATGTTCATCGTTGTTTATCTACTTCATTTGCTAAGAGTCGCAAACAAAAAAGGGCCCCCCCGTGCCTTTCAATCGCTGCCATACAAGGCAAAAGACATATGAGTTCGGGGTCAAAACCACAGACCCTGGTGGATTCCTTGCAAGTATCAAACCTACCATGCGTATCCATGCGTGACTCATGCCTTTGCTTTTCTCACACCTACCCACATGCTTTAGATGAACACCGGCCATGGTGTTTGATGGTGTTTGGGACTCTCTCTCTCTCTCTCAATCTGTACCCTCAGCCAAGCTGCTGTTGTGCCATTCAACACCCTCAGGAGGAAGGCTCTCCATTGCCGCCAAAGGCTCCACTTCTTCTGCTAGCTGAAGCCTTCTTTTGGGTACTTGAGGTCCTCATACTTGGACATGGAGGGAAACTAGGACGCTGATACATTTTGTTGTCTGTGGTGTTCAGTTCCAGTCTCTCCACTGTATTATCTTGGGTACCGTAGTTGACGTTCCCTCGTTCTATCTCTTGAGTCTTGCTGCACTCAAGTTTCCGGTGCGACATTGCATCATGATGAATTATGACACCTTGTTCTCGAGCCATCACGCGGCTGCTATGTGTGGGGTCATTGAATGGATGGACATTGGGTTCATGGCTTTGGCGTTGCATCCAAACCCAATCCAACATTAGTTCATTAGTTGATGGGGTATCTACAACTAACATCAGCATCAGTGTACAGATCCGTATGAGACTCTGAAACAATAGCGTTTGACCCATTCCCACCATCATCACACAATTGCTCGGTCTAACAATTGATGCACACCACATGACAAATGCTAAAGTCTTGAACTGGTGGATTCTTGAATTGGATGTAGAGGAAAGCTTCCTACACCATCCACAATTGGAACTTCCAAACATTCATACTAACGAACACCCGGTCAGGGGAATCAATGTATGATGTAGAATAATGAATTCACTCCTTGTTCGTTCTTTGTCCAAATCAGCCTTTTTCACCTCTCCTCTCACATCTGCAGGCACAAACTTTTCCCGTCTGGCCATCTGGCTGACCGTGCGAAAGCATGGCCAAGTCTTCCCGTGCCTTGGCATGGCCTTGCTCTGAAGCACGCTTGAACCTGGGACGTTGCGAACGTCCGAAACTCCAGTGGCCCCAGCCGACCAGTTAGTTCAGTTCTTCTGCACAAAAAAAGGAGGCCCTTAGGCTGTGGAGTTTGCTGTGGCTAAATGCTATTGTAGTAATGGTAGTATCAAAACACATCAAACCTATATCTGCCACAGTAGACACTCTGTCTTTTCGAGAACGAGAAACACTCGGATCAACAGGTATTACTCTGTGGTGTTAGGCAAGGTGAAGACACACGAGTGCAAATACTAACACTTGTTCGGAGGTATCGACATGGCTTTACAATGTGTTGGTTTTGTCCTTGATAGTCAATCAATCTCACTCACACCCTTCCACTGTAAACGCACTCCTTCGCCAGGATATCCTTTTGGCCCTGACCAGGCAGCAAGGCTCGTGCTTTCGCCGGCTTGACTGGCAGGGTGCCGCGGCCAGTGGCGTAGCATCTTCCAAGCTGCCATTGCGCCTCGCCGCGGCCAGTGGCGCGGACGATCACGCGGACCATGTGCGCGACGCCGTAACAAAACAATGCAGGCAAGTGAATCGGAAGGCGCTACTCCGCGACTGTGAGTATCAGCTGAACACTCATACGCATCCATCCAATACGTTCCAGTCCAATCCAGTCCAATCCGATTCAATCCATCTGGAACTCTTCATGCTTTCGGCCCATCGAGAAGTCGGACGCCTCAGGGTCGCCCAACTTGACCAGCTTCCGCCAAAGGCTCACCTTCGTCCATCGCTCGCGCGCGGTTGTTCGACACCAAAACGGGTGAGGCGTTGAGATCTTTGTGCCGGCCCCCCCAAGCCCAAGAAATGTATAACCTCTTCTAAGAAGGGTGTAACTGCAAGTAAGTTCAGAGTGAATTATATAGTCTTAGTAAACTGACGTAAACTGTATATCTTTGTGTTGGCACGGGAGAGAGGTGTGGTTTTAGATGATTGTAGCAACCTTTCGACAGCTGCAACAACTCGAGTTGCTTTGCATGGGGCGGCCTTACCGAATTGGGAAAATGGGACCTCTTGGTCCTCGATCAGTTTCTTTTGAGCTGCCAGGAACCGCAGTTTGTCTAAGAGGGCATAGCGGCAGAACTCATATATCCTTTGCATCCTGAACATGTAGAAATTCTGTCTGTGCAAAGACTCCAAGAAAACTCCGAGAAAAACATCCGGAGCTTCTCTGGCTTCATTATGCTTCATCCAAGTCGCGGCTTCTCCATCTCCTCGCTCCTGCACCAGCTCTGCCAAAAGCCGCATCGACGCTGCGTCCCGCTGCCGTGCAGCTCGGCGAAGCCTGTTGCGACATGTTGCGACACATGGGCAATTATAGAAGCGATGGCCTCCAACCTACTTGCGATGGCCTCCACCTAGTAGCTTATATTTACTAAGAAGCGGCAGTTGTCGTTGAATACAACAACAACAACGCAGCGATATATAATCAGCCATGTGAAGTCCCTGTCGATGTCCAGAAAGAAAACATCCGTGCTGGAATCTTTTGGATGCCGCAGGTGCTGCCGGTGCAAATTTGTTTCCAACAACATGTCTCATCCGAGGCCACCGAGTTGCCAAAACTCGTAGCCGCTCCAGTTCGCTGGTGTGACTCGCAGCTGCTGTTCCGCAATCCTCGGAAACAAAAGCGATTGCAAATCAACAGCATGCTCACAATGCTTCCCAGAATCTGGATTGGTGGCCATTTTCAGTATGTGGGATGGAATCATTGAAACTGGGAGGGAATTTCTGACGCGTTGGTTCCTTTTGCATCGAGTGTAAGGTCCCAAAGATTTGTGCTTTTCCAATGGGGCACCCCACCCCCTCGCCCGTCACCAGGAAAACGCGGCCTCGCAAACAAACGATGTGAAGGTGTGCGAAAACACGAATGGAGAACCATGTCGCAAAACTCAGCACCCAATCACCATTATATATATATACATCAGGTGTGGACATTCCACTTAATTACAGTAATTTGATTCAAGCCTGCACAAACATATTTTCTCCACACAAAGCGGCAAAAAGTAGCACACAATAATGACTTCAGAGAGAACTGATGAATGCTGTCTCGCAACATTCTTGAATCGTGAGTCGTGAGACAAACGACTAACACATGACACACAGTAGGATTTGTGGACTGCCCTGCCCCCCCCGCATCTTCCACCGGATGTCTACATCTGTCACCCGAATGTCATAGGCATAGGTTTCTCTCCGTTCCACATGGCAAACATCAGCTTGGAGTCCAGCTGGAATTGGCGAAGGTCCGATCACAGTTTGGAGCAGCTGTAGAACATGTCCAATGGACCCACAAAAAGTATACGCAAAGGTTCCCTGTCGTTGGAGTCCATCTTCCGTAAATGATCTTCCACACACCACGTCCAGCACGTGCTGAGTCTGCAGAGTCTGTTGCCCCAAAAGATTGAATGTGCCGGCCATCGACAGTCTGGCATGGAGATATAAAATGATATAATATAAGACTTATATAATTATAATCCTTTTTGTTGGCTTCTTTCGACTTGGGCCTTCCCCCGCTCCCGGCGAGGTTTTCCAAAACACATAAGAACAGTGAAACATATATAGGCCGTTTCATCTAGCAAAGGGTCCCAACAAGGAGAGTCCTCGACGTCACGGTGAAATTAAGGAACCCTCGTACCAACGTGATCGTTCTGGCAGATCCCAAGGACGATCCGACAATTTGGAGACTATGTGCCATGCGTCACAATGTGGGTACAGGTGCAAAGCAGCATACACCCCCCAAAGAATTCAAAGAATTGCATTTTGAGAAACAAAACCTCCTATGTTTGACCCACCGGCCCTCACCAGTGCCCATTCGTTCCAGGCCACTCGCGCATGGCATCCGCATAGTTGGCCTCCGCACTTGCCCGCAGCCAGCGATCCGCTTCCAGGTTGTTGGTTGGAAAACCCTGGCCATGGCGGTACATGCTCGAGAGCACATAGGCCTCAGAGGTCAAAACTGGAAATCTCCAAACGTGGGCATTTCAAGACTGTGCTTCCTATATAAAGTAAATTGAGTAAATTAAGAATGAGTTCGCACATGTTCTCCAGCCAGCGCACAGGGCTGGCCAGAAATATGCGTGCTCGGATCAAATGTGTGAAATGCAAAACGCCGACAGCCGCAGCACCCTTCTTGATGACTTGATGATTTCGTGAAACCATTTTCATTTCTGCACTGGATCAGCAAACAGGAAAAGCAACATGAACGCACCTTGGGGACATGCTGGTTGGATTTGCTTCCAGCAGCAGCAGGCAGTGAGTTGCTTGACCCTGTGAATCGTTGTCGATTCGTGCAGTCACACACACACACACTTTCACTGCCCTTAAGACTGAAGACCACCAGAAGCCACACATTGTGCCTCGAGTACACATGGACCAAATACGACCGAATGATATCAAGGCAGCAATCGCTGATGGACTCCGCCATGTGGGACTTGCTTCAAAAAGAAATGGTTTCACATCAAGCTCAAAAGCCGAATGTCGGATCCTGTACCATCATATTTCAATCTCAACGTGTCCGTCCGTGCCAGGCTGACCTGCTTCAGTGGATGCGTTTGCCCTCTCAAACATGAGCTGGTGCAACAAGCTTGTGGGCGAAATGATCCTATATGATCGCATCAACAGCTCCTGTTCCTTGCCTCTTCAATGAGTACAAAAGCAAATTTCTGGCCACATCGTTTTGGAAACTCCAACCTCTGCCAGACGCTCCTTCTCTCAGGTCACCACATAATCCCACATACGGTCGCCACGGCCGCCACGGTCGCCACGGCCGCCGGTCGGCTGGACATCCGGTCGTCACGTGCGCTGGACATCCGGTCGGATGCTTGCCACGAAGCCATCGGGGACGTGGGGGGATCACCGAATCTATCTCATCTCATCCAATCGATCACGTGGTTTCAGTGGTCACACCGGGCGCCTGGAGGAGATCGTTTCACAGATCGCTGAAACCTTGAAACTGAAAAAGGGAACCAGCTGAGTCACAGCTCGTCATGCCATGGTTTGTCCCCAGCTCATCTTGCCCTTGAAACTCAAGAAGCACATGCTTCCTGGATGTTGACAGCTCAGTCCACAACAAGAATTCCGACATGCCATGGAGCTGTCCAGAAATGTTTGTAGTAGGACTTAATGCCGCTTCGGCGGATGGCATTGGCAGAATAAAAAGCATGTCATGGTGTGAAGCTCCAGCCCGGCATCATTCAAATCAGCACCCAAAGAACTACGAGCTTGCCGCATATCTTTTGCCTGGGGTGTATGCAGCGATCCACCGTCGCATACGGTCAAGCAGTAGCTGTCGCAGTTTCTTGGGTATGCTGTCGACAGCTGACAGCTGACTGGCACTTCGGTCGGAGCAAGACATCGCGAAAGCGGCACATGGCGACTCAACTTGCCCATACTTTGGGTCTTTCCTATGACCAGTAGAACAGTGGATGATGATGGTGAGTAAAGGCCATTCTATAAATAGTGATCATTGTTGACCGACTGTTACTGGTAAGAGGACAAACCAACACATACTTTCTAGTGCTCTCAATTTCCAAGTCACTGCTTCCAAGTCGTCTTGCTCAGCTGCTTGCAGCATCCAGTGAGCTGCTTTCGCTAGATCTTGTGAAAGGCCCTGTCCGTTCGCATAGGCAAAGGCCAAGCTTTTCCTCAAGGCTTGACCAAGGGATGATGGTGCCTTTATGGTCTCGTGATCCCTCTTGGTGTGGAGAGTTGAACCATTAACTACAAAAAGTTACTAGCAAGAAAGGGAATCGCTACTAGGAGCAAGAAACTGGTAGTAGCTCCTGGCATTACTACTAGTAACAAGAAACTAGTAGGTTGGAGGCCATCGCTACTAGTAACAATTCCTTCAAAGATCCCTGTGGCTCGACAGTCCCAACATCTTCCGTCACCTGACCATAATTGAGGCCACAGCCTATGAAGGTGTCTCAAGCAATGCAACATCTCTGGTCACTCCGACTTCCGGGATTGCATATTTAGCAAACACACAAAAGAGGTCAAGTCAAGTTGTCAACTTCACCTAATTATTCCATAATGGTTCTCTCATGTTCTCTCACAAACACTTCCCCGCACCCGGACGCTTTCCTTGTCCCTCCGGTCTCACTCCAAAGCACTGCGCCAGTGCGAAGCCCGCGTCGGCCGCGTGGCGCAGCCCACGGGCCGCACGCACCAATTCGTTGGGTTCGGCTGCCTCCAAGAGCATCAAACTCAAGTGATGCTGAGCACCTGGGTTGTGAAATGTTGCGCAACGCAGCAACATCAGGGTTATGGAGGCGTGGCGATGTGGCGATGCAAACAGGTGGAAGTTGGCATCCCAAACAATGCGGCTGAAGTCGAAACTCAAGCGATTGATCAGTAGATGCGCAACTAAAATTGAAAAAAAAATTCGCTTGAGGAATTCATTCGCACTCACCATGTCTTGGCATGCTTAGCTCAAACGAAGCAAAGTATGGATGGTGAGATGAACTGTTTTTCCTGATGATGCATGCGTTACTCGTGGCTTGTCGGGCCCTCCCTGCAAAAAAAAATTAAGGACTCGCAGCAGCTAGCAGCTAGCATGAACAGTGAAACAAAAGCACATGCAAACATGTTTCCTCTCTTCTAGTGTGCTCCATGTTGCAGAATCGCTCTGCACAAATCGTTGAATGAACGCCCATATATATAGGGGGGCCCCTCTCAGTCCGATTCAACCTCATACAAACCACCAACAACAGCAGGATAAAATCGACCAAACGATTCATCGTGAACTGTCTGGCACCATAGTGTCCCATCTTGGCCGCCTTTTCGTACAGTCTCCTCGGCCAACTGCCGCAGCGGCCCAAAAAAAGGAAGTAGTCACAACTATTCTGAATAATCTTGAGTACCTATTTAAAAACGGACCCCTAAAAAAAGAAACATGTCGGCACCCCCTCAAAATACGGTTTATATTTGTTTTTAAATGCCCTTTCGGCCCGCTACTAAACCACCAACACGGCCGACTTTGGATGATTTTTTTTATGTTCCAAAAACAACCGTAACTGCCCACCTCTGTCGACCCTGTCTATCCACCATGACACGCCGTGTTTACACCAGCAGGCTTTCCTTCCCCCATGGCACGGACTCACGCAAACGCACCTTTTCCACCGAGGTCACGCAAAACCGCATGGCACAGCGACATCACCTTTCGAAAGCTTTATTTGTTAGTCTAATGAAGAATCACTATTCTAATAAATTTTTTGTAGGGGGAAAGGAAGACCCTTCGATCTGGTACGAGTTTAATATATGATTTTATATATATAGATGATTTTATATAAAATGTTCATGGGTTACTTTTGGGTTTTGAAGCCCTTCCCAGGTGACCCTTTTTTGAACCGCCCCGATTTCAGGGACCCCCTATTAAAAGAAAGGCGACCGAGGTTTTCTTATTAGGGGGGGTGGCCGCGTGTTTTTAATAGGCGGACAGGATTATTAACCAAAACTCTGACCTTCCATGATGCAAAAAGAAACCTTGCCAATTTTACATCCACACATCAATGCCTCCATCACGTCTACCTCACCTTCTATGCCCTGCAGAAACTGCCCCGCCAGGTTGTACATCGCATCAGGATCGCCCTCTGCCGCTGAGCGGTGGTACCAGGGCGTAGTGCCAGTGGCCACGGCTGCCGGCGAGGATTTTATCCAAAAGATCCTTGGTGGTTTCACAAAGGATAAGAGCAGTGATATGAGTGGGGGGCCTGGTGGATTAGCATTGGGTCCGTGTGTTCGCATGTTTTCACCTACAGTAGGTCTATCTACTGCCCTGTGGTCCACTCTGTACTGTTCAGTGAAGGGGCTCTTCAAACAAATATCCGGCTTGTGGCCATTGAATCCCCTCTGGCATCTTCCCTCCCGTGGGTGTATGCCACGGGTGTCCTTAACTTAGTGTCTATATTTTGTTCGTCCTGGACCCTCAACAATCAAGAATTTTCTTCACTATTGGGATTTCTTTCCTATTGGGCCGAGTTGGCCGATTCCAACCAAAAGTGAACGGCTTCAACCAAAATTGAATGCTAGCGCTGCTCCTTTTCGTGATGCGCACACGGAACACCTGTAAGCCACTGTGCAAACAAGTGCGCGATCAATGAACATTTGACCGGTTCAATTAAATCGGAAGCGTGTATGGCCGACTTGCAGTTTGCGCACAATGTTTTCGTTGTTGGATAGCAGGTCCCTTTTCCTCTCTGATTTAGTTGTGCGATGGGAACTCGATGAAATCCTGGAAACCATCAAAAGGCCAAGAGTACAGAAATCCCGATTTGCGTACTTTTGCGGGTTTTTGTGTACTATTTGTGCGCTTTTGCGTACTATTTGCGGAATTTCTGTACTGTTTGTGTCTTGCATCTTTACACATTACATGCTGCATATCGAGTTGAGTGAAAACGAATAGCAGCATTTGTTGGGGGACGCTTTCGTGTCTTGAATTAGTGGGGGCTAACTCAGCATCCAGCTCTTCAAAACGTGAACGCTAGGAATTAGGTAGACCCTGTCAAAGTGCCTATACACAGTCCAATCGTCCAATCACATCAATTCTTCATGAATTGAATGATTCTCCTTGCTCAACTCCAAATTATGGAACTGTTGGGCCAGAATGTCCAGTCTGAACGGTTTGAAGGTTTTGCGACCTTTTGCGGCCAAAAGTGTTGAAACAAACAATAGTTAAGAACATTCTGCACGTTTGAAGATTCATGGTGTTTTTTTCAAAATCATCCGGCGGGCATCCTCCAAAAAATTAACTGCTGCCGTAGCGGGCAAAAAAACAGTGGAATAGAGTAGTTTTCTTCCTAATTCCTGACACTGGTGCCGTAGCTGGCCAAACATATTGGAATAGTGTAGGTTTCAGGTTCATTCCTACCTATCACAGCAGTTTGGTGTAGACATTTCACAAGTTTAGGTACGCAGGAAGCATAGCGTAGAAAGAGCTGTGATGGATGGCAAGTACATTGGAAGAAGTAGTGTAGGCTTCGCATATCCACTTAGGTGGGCCTCACATGTGACATGAAGGAATCTAGCGAGAAGAATGCGATAGCCCAGCCCAATCGAACATTGGTAAAGTTGGAGAAGCCAGCTTGGAAGTAGCAGGCCTGCGGACTGCTATGTGGGCAGCTTTCCTGAAGGAAGGCGAAAGAAAAAAAAACAAAAGATCACGGCAAGGCGACAGCCCTACTATAAAAAATAGAAGTTGCAAAAGTATGGGCGGTAGGTATGAGGCCCTGATCCCGCTTTGTGGCATTCTTTCTGCTCTTCTTGCTTGGGCGCTTCAAGCGTGTTGTTGGAGGTGTGCGAGAAGAAAGGTCCTTGCAACGCTTGCTGCCTCACACGCGACATAATATATGACATTTCAGAAGGAAATGGAAATCATAGTGGCAGCTTTATGTCTTTCACACAAATGTACTGTGGCGATTGCTCCCAGCCTCGTCTTTCAAGGTCGAAATCAAAATGTGGGCTTCTGCAACCTTCATGCCGAAGATGGTAACAAAATCAGCGAACCCAAAGGAGGACAGAGCTTCGACAATCGCACCGTGTCGCCTCATGGCCGAAAAATAGTGGCCGCAGCCGGCCTGCGAGTGAAGTTCCGCGGAGAGAGGCGTTGCTGGAGAAGCCATGGAGTCAGGGTGCCGCGAGGCGGAAAGTGCTGCAAGCGTGTCTTGGGCCGGCCCTTGGGCCTAGCGCGCGGTGGCGTGACCGCACCTATGGTATTTTGGTGGAGCATGAGTGTGTAGGCATGCTCGCATGGACCCCAGCGCGCGGCCACGCTGCAGTTGAAGCACAAGCAAAAAGCATATGGGCAAAGTGGTGCACGATGCAGTTGCCAGTACTGCTCACAAATTGGGCCTTGCACCACCACATGCCAATCATCGAAGAGTTTGGCGGCCTTTTGCCAATGAAAGTGTCCAACGGTTGGCTCATACAGGCCCAAGCTGTCAAGGATGCTTCGAACTTGGCCGGGGCTTGTGGACTGCACCACCTTGACACAGGCATTGACTGTGGAGGGCGCCAGAGGGGAGAAAGACCGGTCCTTGCAAGCTTTCTTTTTCTGGTTTGGGCGCGCTCCTGTCCAATCCACCTTCCAGCATGAGGCAGGAATGAGCATCCAGCAGTTGTTGTCAGCGTCGGCAAATGTTTGATGCAAGCCCAGCTGGAGCAATGAGTCAGGAGTGGAACGGCCTTCTGCTGCCAAACTCGATGCGTTGCGGAGAGTGTGCTGGTCGATGAACTGGCCTATGGAGTCAGAGCCGTTGGAAGCAACCATCTACAGAACACGGTTATATACCATGGAGGACCAGGCCAAGGAACCAGGAGATCAGGACTAAAAGCAGAATCCGAAAAAACATGACAAAAACATTAAAAAGAAACGCCCCTCCGGGCCCCTCCGTATGTCACGTGGCTCCAAGCAGCCACACCTGGAACATCCAGGAACGGCAACGAATACAAAGGGTTACCATGGGTGACCCCAAAGCTGCCTTGGGGAAAGAAGGTTCAACATGGTTCAACAATCCTTCCACCAGTCTTTTTGAAGAGACATCAATCCCAATCACGACGCATGTTGGATGCCAACCTCTCTCTGGCCGTCCCCCTGCTGATCACTCAAACCGCTTGTGCAAGCTTCAGCCTTCCCCCCCAACACTGGCCCCCACGTCTCTTCGAGCGTCAAGCTGTAGCGGCTGCCGCTCCAAAGCCGCACGCCGTGCCTTTCTATAAGGCCCACGTCTCTTTGGGCAATACAATCTTAAAGCTAGGAAGGCCCAGTCTTACTCATTCACCTCTCCGATCTACCCTTCTTCCTTCCAAACTGCGGAATACCTTCTATGCAGGTGGACTTCAGCTGCTGGTCTGGATCTTTTGGATCAGCACGAACAAGCAAACAAGGGCCTGCGTTCTCAAACGCTCCCCAAATTCATCTTCCACGGAAGAAACAAATGCCCCCCAGATTTGCCGTCGGCCATCCTGCCAAAGGAATAGGTCTTATCAGTCCAAGATGCTGCAAATCGAAGGAATGTACAAACAAGTCCCCGGGCTCCAGTTGAACGAAACGTCGAGAGTTGCTGTGAGGTGTCGGCTGGATGTAGAGACCCCCTTCATACTCATCCTCAGTTGGGATCGAATGGTTGAAAGAAAGGCCTGGCGGGCCTCGCGGGCCTGGCGGACCAGCCCTTCCAATGGCCCAGTTCAAACCTACAATCCAAGCATGCACCAAACGCAGTTTCCTGAGTTGGAGTGGTGGGAATCCTTGTCACCCCTTTGGCTCTTGCATGGTTTCAAGGACTGAATTGGTTTGGCCCTGAGGGAAATGAAGCCCTACATTCACTCTGTTGTAGATGTTGTAGTGAATGAACCACATCTGGTCCGAACTGGTCCGAACGAATGGGCTCAAACATGGGTTTCCCCGAACTACCCACATAAAATCAGGTGGAATGAGGTGGATCTTCTGCTGCGCGACGGGCGGAGTGAGCCCCAGGACCACCGTGGCATAGGCATGGCCATCAAAGTGGAGGTTGTGTGTCCGACGCTCTTCGGACAAATACCTCCTGGTGAAGATCCGTGGAGCCGTGTCCCGGAATACAGGAAGGGGCTTTGGACCCAGGAGGATGCTACACTGATGCACCAAAGGAACTTGTAGCTTTGGTTTGTGTATCCATCAGATTGCCCACGTGGGAAGGACACAATATTGAGGTCGAGCCACCTTATGCTAATCAGGACCCTTGGCATGTGAGGCCATGTGTTAAGTGGGCACCTATACACTCAAGGCCGATTCACCAGCTGGCGCTGAGGAGCCGGACTGTCGGAAATGGAACCCACCCTCACACCCTGAGGACAACCACTCTGCAGTTTGATGCACTAAAAGCAAACAGGATGTTGCTTTAGTCCGTATACACGCGGGCGTTTGTTTCTCCAAACATTGTGCTAAAAATACACTGGAAGAAATATACACTGGATGTATCTATAAGCCCTCCACTTTGGGTGTTTGACAGATGTTTTTTTGGATTTTGGAACATTTCAAAATGGACGATCCATTGGTGGCATGCTTATTTGTTTTGAGACGAACCATGACGAACCTCGACTCTCCTCACCAGGATCTCTGCCACTGTGCACTCTTCACAGGAATAGCGGCTGCGGACATATGGCAGAATTAGCTCTTGGACCATGGGTTGCAGTAACTTCCCCAGCTCTTCATCGCTCCACGTTCCATTGATCATCGGATAGTACTCGAAGGACGGCAAACCGTCCACCGAATCGTTGTCCACCGCGTAGCTCTGCGACTGGACCTGCTGTCGTTTTCGAGAAAAAACGACCGTTGACACGGTGGTGCCCATCGTTTCCCCAAAAGGGTCTGGAGCATCTATCATCTACCATCTCAAAAAAGAAGAAAAACGAAACATCACCCATCATCATCCCATTCATGCTACTCAAAGACCATGATGCCATGATGGGATATGATTGAAATATTCTGTCTTTCAGCGCTTTCATCAGCTTCGGCATGTCCAGCTGCAGGAACATTGATGTAAAGCTCTGGAATCGCCTTGAAACCAAAGCTTGTGAACTTTCATCCTATGACTCATCCTGTTTCATCCCCCGAAGCACGACCTTGTTTCACCAAGTCCTTTCCGCCGGACACGTCCTTTCCGCCGTCGCTGGACATCGCCGGACGAGCGCCGTGTCGCCTGTGCCAGGAGCTGCTGGGCGAAGCTGGGCGCCAGGAGCTTCGAGAGTCGCATGCAGCTGCTGCTGCCAGGCAGGTCTCGGGCGCTGGGGTGAGACATTCTCACCGGTGAGATGAACTCCTAAAGACTGGCTTGTTGGTCTGGAGAATCCCTATCATCTAATAGGTCCTTGGGGGGGAATGGGTAGTAAAACCTCGGAATAGATTAGTCTTATCATGGTTTATCTATGTTTATCCTATTACTGTACGATGGAAATACATTGGAGGGTCAACAAATACTGTAACAAGCTGACCGCTCTTGATTTTGACTCGCTTCGAGCGAGGTCCACTTCCAAGGCTGAAAAACAGAAAGGAGTGACATGCGCTTGAATTTGGTGCATGATGGGTTTGGGTCCAATCAAGTTACATCTTTAAGCACTCTTGTCTTGACTCTTGACTCTCGACTCTACTCTATGCTGGGAGATACTGGGAGATTCTGATGGGGAAAAGCGGAATTCATTAGAATGTGTCAGAATACAAAACATCCAGGGACATGATGACAAAGAAAAAAAACACACATCCAGAAAACATGGGCCGGCAAAGCTCTTTCAACAAGGAAGGTGCAAGTCTCTGGCTGAAACACGCTGAAATGCTGCCCAAGAGGCTTGGTATTCGCAAACTCTTTTCGAGCAACCAACGCTCCTCTAAGCCCTGGTATCCGCCAATCTGCAAATTGCGTGATACTGGGCTGCTTGGATCCAAATACCTGGGCGAGGCGCACTAGAGCGAAGTGACAAAACTGGAACTCAGGCGACAAAGATTGATGCGTGAATGTACTTGTATGTACTCTGTATACTGTATGAGTATATTTAGAGCTCTGTATGAATCTAGCATTGGCATACCATATGAGCAGGACAGGACTATATCCTGTAACACAGCATCCCTCACACTCTGAGCCTTCACTCTTCAAAGTAACCACCTTCACTCCTAGGCTACTGGTTGGATGTGCCCTTATTGCTCCAAATCAAATGATCCTACACAGTCACTGCGATTAAGATACGTGATGCCATGCGAAAGCTCCCATGCACTGCGTGATGCGACCAGCACTGACAGCGTTCCAAGCTCATAGAGACGCGGGCTCACCATGAGTCAAACAGTCCTATCCTGCCATGCGGGTCTTCACGGCAGAACTGCCTGCGGGTCTTCATGGCAGAACTGTTTTCGCATGAGCCACAAAGCAAATCAGGAGTTTTGCCAGGTCTGGTGGAAGTTTGGCCCGTTTAGCATCGTCTATGTAATGTAATTACCTCATGCAGCTGAACATGTCAAATGTTATCAAATGTTTAAGGATCTCTGACTGGACATGACTGGACAACGCTTTACTTGGCTTGGGCTTGCCAAAACGCTGTGTCCTCTTCTTTTCAAATTGCGAGTTCACCGAGTTGGCCCTACGAATCTTCAAGGCCCCACGACCTGTCTTTTCGTCTAGAAACGGGACAGGACGAGGATGCGTGAGGCGTGGTGTATGGGACACATGCCACAACACCAGTGCCGTCCGCATCCTCTCTTCGCAGTCTGCAGGCGAGATATCTGGAAACCAATGTACTTAGGAACAGGTTGACCCCTTGCAGTCCGTTCATACCTCTGTCACAACTCCCCCAATCTGTGAAGAATCAAACGACTTCTACAGTGTAATTATACGTAGTGTTGTCTTGTTTACCTCTCAGTATGTGTTTTGGGCTGCCACTTCGCATCTGAGAGCCCAAAGAAGGAGTCTGTCTCAAACGCGTCTTGACAAACAAGCTCCCTCTTCATTCTTCATAGAACTTGATTACAAACGACACGATAAGTTTCTCCAGGATAAGTGAAAAGACCATTCCCTACTTCAAAGAAACATTGATCGCCAGGCTGGTTGGAACTGGCTTTCCTCCTGTTCGGGTTACTCCCTCAGTTTTCCAAGGGCCCTAGGGCGATCCAACCTTCAAGTAAAAAACTTTTCATAAATAAGTAGGGTAGAACATGTAGAAGGTACTCCAACTCCTTGCGTTTGCAGGTGTTGTTCTTTTTGTGCTCTTTTCTTCGATTTCATGCCTAAAATTTAGCACGTCACCCATGATGTGGGCCCTCCAAGGAGGTTTTTGTAGAGATTCTCCGGGTGCTCCAGAAGTCTTTCCTCTCTCTATTTCTCTACTTCAACACTCAGTAGACTCGTCAGGAGGAAAAAGAACGAAAAGAAAGACTCTGCTCTTGTCTGAAAGCTTCCATAGCTCATCCGCCAGGTCTGAATTAAAGCAAATTACTAACCTGCCTGGGCCACTCATCTTGGCCCAGCTGCAATAAACATTCTTCGAATTCAGCACCTCCATCAGTTTAGTGCTAAGGTTTGCACCAGGATGCACCAGCTTGTTCTTTTGACTCAAGTGTTTATCTTCGAACCCAGGAGATGCAAAACCTTAAAGGCCCCCGAAGACGCAAAACCATTGTCTGCTCATCTCAGTTGTCACCGACCCGCGCACATCTGAGAGAGCAAGCCTCTGCAAACCAAGTGTGAGAGGGAGGATTTGTTTGAACGGAATTCGTTGTCAATGCATTTTGGTGTTGGTCCTCCACAAACTTAATGAATCCAATGTCCGCCCTTCAAAAGGGCACTGTGAAGAATGCTAGTTTTCAGAATACGGCATGTAGTTGCAGTACTTGTTCCTTGTTCGGTATTGTGGATCTTTTTGGTAGGTCATGGTCCACCTCCGCCCGGCCACCTTTGTCTCGGCAAACCCCCCCAGTGCCAGAACCAAATCACCTTGCAGCCCAATTCTGAGGGTTGGACACCAACTAATGTAGTCCCTTGATTTATAAACCCCCCCCCCCCCCAACAACCAAGGCCTCCAAAACAATGTATATGAAAATCAATCAGTTGATAATTAAATAAGGAATCCTTAGCTAGCTACCTCTGGAGCTACTCTGGCAATATTAAATTAAAAGGAAATAAGAACTCCTAACTTTGAAGACCTCTGGCAATATTAAATTAAAAGGAAATAAGAATTCCTAACTTTGAAGACCTCTGGCAATATTAAACTAAAAGGACATCTCAAATTTCTTAATAGAAATCTCCATCCAAAAGCCTCCAAAAGCATCAAATCTCAATGGAAATTTCAACTTTTCTAATAGAAATCTCCATCCAAAAGCCTCCAAAAGCATCAAATCTCAATGGAAATCTACAAAGTTTTAATAGAAATCTCCATCCAAAAGCCTCCTAAAGCATCAAACCTCAATGGAAATCTACAAAGTTTAAATAGAAATCTCCATCCAAAAGCCCCCAAAAGCATCAAATCTCAATGGAAATCTTCAAATGTTTAATGGAAATCTCCATCAAAAGGCATCCAATCTCAATGGAAATCTCCAAAATTTCAATGGACATCTGAAGCAGCAACAGCAACAGCAGCAACAGCATTGGAAGGGGGGATTGAGAGATGTTCAATGAGCCTCAAATCTCTAGACATTATTCTAGGGGCCCCCCC